AATGACTTTATGAATTTAACTGGTAAATGAATGGATCTGGAGACTATCATGCTAAGTAAAATAAGCCAATCACCCAAAAACATGGGTCAGATATGCTCTCTGATATGTGGATGGTAACCCACAACAAGGATGAGGGAGAATAGAAGTTCAGTGGATTAAACAAAGGGGAAGAAGGAATGCGGGTAAGGGAGGTGGATAGGAATAGGAAAGGCAGTGGAATGAACCTGACATAACTTTCCTATGTTCATGTATGAACACACCACAGTGAATCTCACCATCATATACATCTATAAGACTGGGACCCTAATTAGAATAAAATGTATTTTATTCTTTTAGAAATATACCAAAATGGTTTCCATGTCATATATAACCAAAAAGAATTTTCAAAAGGCTCCTTGCTGTCAAACAAATCTTATTATAATAGATACAATATGAACCCGTCTAAGAGATGCAACACAGTAGCAAAATGGTCCATTTTGTGGCACAAATGATTAAACATTGTAGTGGTTAGGAGTACATCACCTGTGCTGTGCTGGGAACATGGAGGGTCATGGAGAAGCAAGGCATGCCCTGGGCTTTGGGGTTTCTCCAGATTAAGCCTGGAGCAGTGGAGTAGGAATAGATAGGAGGATGTGGGCATCCTGATCCTATTCCATGCTGAGGAGAAGAGCATTCATCTGAAGTGATTTCAAAACGCTTGAGATCACTCTGATTGAAAATACATATATCTTGTCTTGTTCCCATTGTTAAAAATGCTTACTTTGGGAACAAATACTGTCTTTAGAAGTCATCATTTTAAATGTCAGCATCTTTTGGAGGGGTCAAGTGTAAGTTTTTGACAATTTAGTGTGAGAGCACTCAGCAGATTATTTTCTCTGTCTAGAATAAAGGAAAGCAGAAAGATAGGGCAGAGCACACTGTAAGAAAGCATAAATAGAGAGGTGATACAGAGCAAAGGATGGACATGGTTGCATCAAATTTATTTTGAAGTAGTCCAATGTCAGGAGGTTAATCAAAATTTCAGCCTGTCATAATAATATTTAACATCTAATTTTAATATCTAACAATAGCAGTTTATTTCACAAATATTTTTCACTTTAACTTAACTGTCTGTAAAAAAAGGTTTTCTTTGGAATGAGAATTGAGCATTAATTGCCTAATAGTGGAGCACGTCTAAACTAGTATCAGAGCATCCATGATTTCAGCATGAGTAAATTCAACAATTTCCAAAATAAAAATCCAGGGTAAGTTATTCATTAATTTTAAGACATATCATTGAAGTGTTCTGGCTGTGAAAATATTAAACAAAACATCATTTTGCAGAGTAACTACTGTTCTAATTCAGTGTTTCCCTAAGTGGTGTCATGAGGGAAGAGCAGTTCTTATGGGGAGGTATGAGGTCCTGTTTGAGAGGTGCAGGGAGCTCCGCAGCAAGGGAGGCTGCAAAACACTCGTTCAGGAAAATGTTTTTTGTTTGTTTGTTTTTTTCTGCAAGACTACCTAGAGCACAGATGCACTGACAGACATTGTGACTTCCAAGAGGACAACCCAGGGAGCAGTTTTTCCAATCTTCTCTGACCTTGGCAGTAGTGTTCTGTGCAGAGCACTTTGGAAAATGATCTAACGTGATCTGAAACTCTAAAAAGCTATCTAAAGATAAGATATTAATGCATTTTCAAAAGAAAATACTGAGATCATTCTCTCTCTTTCTCTCTCTTTCACACACACACACACACACACACACACTCCTTACAAGCATCTACTTAGCATGTATGTGTATATGCTACATAAAAACACATGTAGCATTGATTAGTACATTTCAGGTATTAGTATTTCAGGTAAACCCACCAGGCTTCTATTTTGAATTCTTCATTTATGGAGCAGAATCAAAGAAAATGTACAAATCTTGTAGCTCTGAGGTTTAATAACTACAAATTCATTGGGGCCACCATTTCTCGTGACTGCTTTTCATCCTGTGAGCAATCCCAGCGTGAAAACTTTTCAGCACAAGCCTGTCTTGGTATGCAAGAAGGAACCTCTTCTGGTAAAGTGAATGCAGATCCTCCGTCTTCTTCTTTCACTATTTGTCCTGCAGGCTGTTTAATTTCTTGCAGTGTTTGATGATATGTTTTTAAAGCATCTGGGCAAACTTACAGGAGATGAACTTCCCGAGGTTAGCCTAGTGTTGAGTAATTCTGCAGCAGCATTCCACGTGTGCAACTGTGTGTTCCTGCAATTTTAGCTGCAATTAGCCAGATAATAGAGTATAAGTTGAGTATTAGAAGCAGTTCTATGAATGACTGTCTACTTTATGAACTATCATTGTCACCCACTCCTTGAATCTTCTACACTAAGTAGGAAGTACCCTTATGTTCTCCCTGTGTTTGGAGCTTGTGAATGATTTTATCAATTTGCTATGTATTTTGTGAGATCCATGCTAAGAACTCTTGGCGTGAATGTTAGCATAGTTATTGGATTTAAAGACTCAGATATAATCAATTCATATGCCTCTATGTTTGGGATTATTCAAAGGCAAAATGTAGGTGAGCTTTAATCTTTTTTCTCAGTTATATCATAGTCATTTGCAAAGAGGAGGTGTAACACAAAACAAAATGACAGCGATTTCTTAGGCCTTCGTAGGTACCCACTTGTATGTATTGTTGCTCTAGCTTGGAATTGGAACATAGGAGCATGATCGTAAGCACAATCTCCAGTCCCTGTGCCATATGAACACGTCTTGTTTTCTTTTACTAAATTAGAATTTCATACCTTATGGAGGTTTTTCGATATGTTCAAATAATCACAGTTAGAAAAGCGAAGTGGCTGTGATTGATTTTTGTTCCTTCTTTACTCATTGGACCTGCCTTTGACTTAAAGAGTTATCTTAGCTCAGAACAGAGGATGGAACAGGAACCTGTGCGATGATTCATGAGAGTCGATGGAAGCCGATGATTAGTTCATGTGCCTCTGGTCTTCAGTGATGGCATAAATCCTGAGGAAGTTCTGTAATGTCAGCCTTACGCCTGCCTATGTCAAGGCACATACAGGCTAGACCTGTTAGGAATTGAGAATCCAAGGAATAAACAGAATTCCTTTATACAGTTATTCACTTTTTAAAAATGTCATGTAGACATAAGGATAGAAGAGGAAAACATAATGCTGCTGTCTTCTAACCTCAAAGGGGAAATTTGCTTATTTATAAATATAAAGACCATTCACAGATGGCAAAGCACCTCTTGGGAACAAGAGAAAAAAATGTTAATTGATTATAGGCTAAGACCTATCTGTGAATTCTCAAGTCCACAAACTAGTTTTTTCCCTTAAAATTGAAAATTTTAAGGTCCGTTGATTCTTAAAATAACAAAGAAAGCGGTGAGCACAGAGCAAAGCTACATAAGAAAGCATACTACTGCACCATTTAAATCAACGATTTTATAACAGCCATTCCTGTCCCTGGGAAAATAAAACTTAACATGTATATGTGTTGTTTCCTTTGCATTATATGATGTAAGCTGAAGAGTTTTCTCTTAGGGAATTAATATCCACCAGATGAAAAATAATTCCTTCTTTCCTTTGTCAAACATACCAGACATACCCTTGTTTCAGCTAACCATGACCACACTATTAAGCAGACCCAAAACAGGGGGAAGACAATCATCAGTTAACAAACAGGAATGAACTGTAATACACCAAAGCTGAGACAAACCAGGAAGATAGGAATCCCTCTCTGGTAAGGAAGACAGCAGGTCTCATTGTCAGAAATGATGTCACCAGCAGAGGCACAGAGATCTGAGCCCATGCATACTTCTCCATTCCTCCTTCCAGAGCTAGGGAACCCTGTGATTTGGCCACCCACTGCCCAGGAAGCTTGCATTACCTGGATCCGCTCTGGTAACATGGTGTTCTCTCATGGGGCCCGAGGACAAGAGCCTTTGATCAGGAAACTGGACCAGAATCCACCTTCCCCCAAACATCCTTACGACATTTTAGTGTCAGGAGGCTTTGTCACTCCTGAGAATGGGTTCATGCATGCTCCGATTGGCATCGAGGGAGGATCACTTGTAAAGCATTCAGTATTTGTATCTTCAGAGAGAAGTACTGCTAGGGTGGAGGATGGTAAGCAGAAACAAAACTCAAGTTTACGTGGTGAACTGTTCAGCCTACATCAGTTTAGAGGAGACCTCCATGCAAACAGTAAGGACTCACGCCTGGCATGAAATAAAACTGTTCCCCAGAGGGAAAAGGCAGCAGAGGTTGTACCAGCTGCCAAGAAGTGGCTGCGTGTTCTTTTTGGGTGGTGCTGTATCTCGTGTAGGTCCAGACCTCATTGATGTTGGTCCTGTATAAGGGTGAGAAATGGTCATTGTGAGACATTTTTTTAAATTAGTAGACTTCAGTTTTTAGGTTTACGGAAAACTGAGCAGATGAGACACAGTTTTCCTCCCCACCCCCATTATCTTGGCTTAATATGGCTCATTTGTTACAAGGGATGGACTCCGATTGATATGTCAGTATTAACCAAAGCCATAGTTGACATTAATATTCACTCTGCAGCACGGTACTTCTGTGGCTCTTGACCAATGAATTATGTCAGTGTTCACCATTAGGGTTTCACACAGATGGTCTCACTGGCCTAACACTGCCCTGTCTTCTACCCATTCATTGCCACCTCAGTCACCTTAAGTGGACATCTGACACAACGCTGGCATCTCCCCAGTGGTCTTGGCCTGCAAACCCCTTCCTCTTCCTTTTCAGAGTTGATTCCTCCAGATCCCATCAGGGGTCCTCATGTATGTAACAAGCTCTCTTGAAAAAATTCTTGTTAGGATTAATCCAGGTGAAAGTTTCTAGGGTCAGTCAGCTTCCACCCGACACGTGTTGTTAATATGAAGCAGGACGAACCACGGGAGGGTGGGGGTGCCTGCAGCCACATCTACAGTGCGCATTAAGCTTCTTTCCTTTCTCTTCCCTTCTTGATGGCTGTCTCTCCTCTCCTGCAGGGAAAGCACAGGTTGCACGTGGACACTGGGATGGAAGGAAGTTGGTGCGGCCTCATTCCTGTTGGACAGCCGTGCGATCATGTGACAACCACAGGCCTGAAGTGGAACCTCAGTAAGTAAAGCCCCTCCATAAAGGGAAGTTTTCTTTTCTGCTGTCCAGGAGTACAATCTCTGGGTCATAAGGTATCTCACTGTTTAACAGAGGAGCTGCCTGATGATTTTGCAAAGTGTCTGCACCATTTTCCTTGTGACCAGCAATATACAAGTTTTCCAGTTTCTTTACATCCTCATCCACAATTGTTATTATCTTTTTGTTGTTGTTGTTTAGTTTTGCTTTGTTTAATTATAACCATCCTGGTGGCTATGAAGGTGGTGTCCTACTGGGTTTTGATTTGCATTTCCCTGATGACTAATGTCATTAAATTTCCTTCCTTGTCCTTATGGGACTTTTGTGTATTTTCCTTAGAGAAACTCCTATCCAGGTCTTTTGATCAGCTATTAATTAAGTTACTCTCCTTTGCACTGAATTGTAAATCCTTCGTGTATTTTAGAATTGAGTCCTTTATCAGATGAGTGACTTGCAAATATTTTCTAAGAGTGCTTGGCCTATATTTTTATTTCTGAAGCTTAATTAACAAAATTTGTTAATTTAATGTGATAAAGTCCAAGTTTCTTTATGGATCGTTCTTTTGGTGTCATCTCTAAGGACTTTTTGCCCAACTTTCTTCATGGTTTTATGCCCATGAAACCAACTTGGCTTTTTAGAAGTAGTCACTCTAACAAAAATAGCAAGTTCTTTTCATAGTCAAACCTTTAAGATATCACAATCTATGATAGCTGCCCTTATTACATTTTAAGATGTTGTCCAACAATTACCCACTGTATTAGCTTTTAGTTATATAAAAATTGTCAGATTTTAAACCAACAAAAAAAAAATGAGGGGGATCTGCTTATGAACTAAATCCTGATTCCAAAGGAAACCACCAGGCATTGCGAAACAAGTCCATTCTAGTCATTAAGAATAACAGTAATTTAATCAAAGGGATCTGACTGAAAGACAAAGCAGGTGTCCCCTGATTTACCAGTATCTCTAAGGTTGTACGTGTAAAGTATGGAACCATGTCATTCTTTTTAAGTATGGGAAACTCTTAGATTTCTACAAGGAAATAAATATTTGGAAGATAAAAAGATTTTTGTAAAGTCCTTTCTATCAGTTACTGCCTAAACAGTTAGAAAAGGCCGAGATGTTTTGGAAAACATGTCTTGAGAGCTTATCAGAATTTGAAAGGCCAGCTCCAGCAGGTCTCCTCTTGTGCTCAGAGACAGGTGACAGGCTTTGAAGCTCTCCAAGGAAACTGACATGAGCTCCCATTAGAAGCTTTTTGGAAAGTATTCCAGCCTAAAACAACAGTTTTACTTTTAAAAATTCCCATTATTTCCAAGGACCCCACCTTGACAGTGGGGAACTTCCTCCTGCGTGGAATGGTGAGGGCACCTTTCAGGGCTAGTGCTACAGGATCGAGGGGGGCAGCTGCCCAACTTCCTTGGCCTACAGTGACAGGAAAGGGCCAGAAGAGGAGGGGGGACTCTTCTGTGCTCTTTCAAACATCCCAATTCTGTAAACCAGCTTTCTCTGGAAGGGGGGCCTTGGGCAAGATGAGGGTAGGACTCTTAACCTTCCTACGAGGTAATTTTTAATCCTGTCTAAATGCAATATATTGTTATTTATTTGTGTAGTTACAGATTGCTTTGACTCTTGAAATAATTATTTTTTATCTACATGTTTATGAAAATATATTAAAAGCAACTTCAAGGAGAATGCAAGAAATAGAGTGCAAACAGTTTGTTCCATCAATTATCGATGGGAAAATTCTTATTTTAGGGTTCTTTTAACTCATTAAAGATAATAAAAATAAATGTGAATGATATCATGTGATAAATGTGAAGAAGAGTGGATGGATTTTGTTCAGAGGGCTCCTTCCGATTCATTCAGCTCCCTCCATCTGGGAAAAGAGCCCTGAGGTCAACAATGTAAGACTATCTGTCACAGCCATGGACCACTTGGGCTTGGAGAAGGGGGAAAGTCTGCAGGTGCTTAGTCAGGAGCTACCTCACTCCTTGGGTCATTGGTTAACAAGTCGCCCTGGGGAAACAGGTCAAGAGTCCTCCTCAGGTGGCCACATCGCTTGGTCTCTCCCCATCCACACACTTCAAAATCTGATGCCAGAAGTTCCAAATATGATCTGATTTGTTATCAATTTGTAATATCTCACATTACATTCTAACTTAAAAGAAAAAAAGTATGAAAGCTACCCATGTCCCATCTCCCAGAAGAGAAATGTTCCAAGTGTTATCAAAGCGGATTATAGTTACAGCGTTTTAGTTTGTGGTAGTATGCTATGGACGTTCATTGACTTGCGTCTTGTGCAGGAGTTTCTTTGGGATGTAAACACTTGGGAATAAAAGAGCTGCCTCTTAGATGCTGCACTGTTACCTCTACTAGATGCACCACATTACCCTGCCCAGTGGGTGTGCCAGGACACACTCACACCCCCCCCCCCCCAGAGCACCAGGGTTCCCCTGCCCCACATCCTTACCAGTTCTTGGTATTGTCAGACTCATTTCTGCCCGTCAGACTCTAACTAGTTTTTCCTTATGATCCCAGCTGGCGAGGGTCAGCAGCTTTATGTAGTCGTTAGCCATGGTGAATCCACTTATGTGGATTGCTGCGTTCTTTCGCCTGGGCTATTGATTTCTAGAAATTTCTATTTGTTTTTATGAGAAGAAAGGTTATAAGAGTTAAATGCAGAGAAATTTTTAAGTCCTTATACTTAATGTTGGTAACATTTATGTCTGAAGCCATCTCTATTTCTCCATGGTTGTGAAGGTACTTTCAATTTAGTTTTTAAGGTTTAGTTTTTAGGAATTTGTTTCACCTGAAATTCATTTCTGTGCATGATATGAGATAGGGATCCATTTTTTTTTTTTTTTTTTTGTCTTCCTGATAGTAAATTCCCTAGAATCATTTATCATCCTTTCTCCAAAGATTTTCACACGTGTGGGTGTTTCTTGGACCTCTGCTGTCTTCCCTTGGTTTACATATTGCTGCTCTGATGCCACACTGCCCTGGTTCCTGGGCTTTACAATAGGTATGGAATGGGAATGAGTCTCCAGCCTTCTTCTTCAGAATTTTCATGGCTATTCCTGGCTTCTCACTTTTCGTCATAAATTTTAGAATCGGTAATTGTATCATAATTTGTATTGGAGTTACGTTTATTTAGTTGCTGAACACTTTTATCATTTCTAAAAATGTGACTATAGATTCACTTGACTTTTCTACAGACAAGCATATTTCTTTTCATAGTCAAGTTCTCTTTCTTCCGTATTCGATAACAAAAAGAATGTCAAAGCCAGCCTCAGCAAAAGCAAGGCGCTAAGCAACTCAGTGAGACCCTTTCCCTAAATGAAATACAAATAGGACTGAGGATGTGGCTCAGTGGCCAGGTGTCCCTGAGTTCAATCCCCAGTACCCACTGCCCCCCCCCCAAAAAAGGCTCTGAAGTGGCAGCTTTAAGAAAGCCAGTGTGTGCTTCCTCACAGTGCAGTGCAGGGGTAGGCAGTTACAAGGAGGCTCTCTAGGATGTCCTCCATCCTCCAACTGTGTGTCCTGGTCATGTCTGTTGCACTTCAGCCACTGTGTTCCCCATGACATCGAAAGGGATGGAAGGGGAGAGAGGGGCAGGGGGCAGTGTGCAGTGTGCACAGCAGGACATGGGCCTTCACAGATGCCCACCTCCCCAGCAGAGTTCTTAAATATCAGAAGTTGAGCTGGATTATGTAGTTTACTGAATTATAAAAAAGTTGTTTTAAATTATCTTAATTTAATTGCCACTATTTTCTTAGAACTTTTAAAATTGATACATGTTCTAATAAATGACAGCATATCTTTGGTGGAATACAATATGGTGTTTAATAATTCTAGTTTCATGGTCTCTTTTGTAGTCAAATTCTGCATTTTTCAGTATGTTCTTTATTCTCACTCATGATGGACTCTTTTGTCCTGTTTCATATATTTGGTTGTCTTTTCATATTTCGGGTTTCATCTGTGGAAATACTTGGAAGCATAGTTGGGGGTGTCTTTCTAGCTCAAATTTCAAGCCGTTTCTACTAATGCCCTGAGATGTAGCAGTCTTGGACTATTTAGCTGCCCAGGTATGGGGTTTCCATGAAAAATCTTCTAGTGTCAATTTTAACCACAAGGAATTGAGGTCTCTATTTCTTCTTCTCTTTCCCCACCCCCCATCCCTGTCAAAGCTCAGGCAAAGACAAGTTTAAGTTTCCTTATTCTGAAGCTTTTCTAGCAGTCCAGTAAGTTCCTGGCTGGTGTGTTCTGAATGTCTGCATCCTCCAAGTTCGTGCATTGAAAACTAATTAGCAGCCAGGCACATGGAGCATGCCTGTGATCCCTGTGGCTCGGGAGTTCAAAGTCAGCCTCAGCCATAGCAAGGTGCTGAGCGACTCAGGGAGACCCTGTCTCCAAATAAAATAGGGCTGGGGATGTGGCTCAGTGATCGAGTACCCTGAGTTCAATTCCCAGTACCAAAAAACTCAAACAATTAACAATGTGATAGCGTTAGGAGCTGGAGCCTTTGGGAATTGATTTGGCCCCTCATGAATGGGATTATTCTAAAGGAAAAAGATTTCTTGCCCTTTTCACCATGTGAGGACACAGCAAGAAGGTGCCATCTATAAACCAAGGAACGGACCCTTCACAGACCCCAAAGCTGCTATCAGTTTCTTGGATGTTCAACTTGTAGGACTTTGGGCAAGAAGTTTCTGTTGTTATCAGCTACCCAGTACATGGCCTTTTATCAAAGTGGTCTTACCAGTCTAATCCACAGGTCTACCCTTCTGTTAAGGATATGGCCCTGAATTTATATAGAGAATCAGCCCCAACTCTATAGAGGCCCAATACCTTGATTCCTGATTCCCATTTATTTGAAAAGAAAGGCATCTTTCTTTGTCTGTGCAGCTGCTATTTGTTCCAGATCCTTCTTCATTTTTTGACCACTGATGAGTTGGTTCCACTGTGAGCTTCCTATCGTTGTTAGA